TTTGTTGGATAATTCTTCTCTTTCCATGTCACATTCCCAGTGATATTTTGTTTTCTAGTGAGGTTAATGGTGTTTGCCAACATTTATCATCTGGGAAAGGTAGATCTTCCAGACAGCCATGCATTTCACAAAGAGCATGGCATGTACATATAAAATTATTCTAGATGCATGGAGAAAAGACTGTGTGAGGACAAAGCAACAAGGCCACCATCTGCAAGCCAAGGAGAGAGGCCTCAGAAGAAACATTGGTTTCCTCTGCCGTCACCTTGATCTTGGACTTCCAGCCTCCAGAACTGTGAGAAAATAAATTTCTGTTGCTAAAGCCAAAAAATAAAATAAAATAAAGTATTTGTTTCCTGCCAACTTCAGAAAAGGATTTAAAAGTGGAATCGTCTGTAGTTTAGATAGTGGTGTTTTACCAATGCCAATATCCTGGTTTTAATATTACACTACAGATATATAAAATGTCACCACTGAGGGAAGCTGGGTAAAGGATACAAGGGACTCTATTTTTGTACTATTTTTGCAATTTCCTATAAGTCTATAATTATTTCAAAATTTAAAAAAAACTTAAGGGTTTGAGGCTGATTAAATATATAACATTACGTATAGAGTTCTTTCCCTGTCTTCAAGGGTCCAGTGGTTGCTTCCGTAACTGCAAAGGCAATCTCATTTAGTTGAGTAGCACCTGAGAGCAGCTTTGAGTTAGAAGTAGGTATGTTATACCCCACATAACAGTGCTGTGTAGGGCTGCTCAAAACAAATGTAACAATGTGTTGCTTTGCCCCCACGGATTTGTCACCCCTCTTCCCCTGGGTGACAGAGCCGCAAAGCATTACTCAAAGCCCATCTCTTCTGAGCAGTGAGAAGCCCCAAAGCACTTAACTTCCCTGGAACCCTAAAGTGAGAGGCATTCCTTCCATTTGGGAAATTGACCCCAAATTGGGGTTCTCTTCCTGCATTTATTCTCCAGCCCGGGAAGTTACAGGAAGAGACATAGGTGGGGTTATAGTTTAACAATATAGGCTGGTAACTTTCAGTGAAACAAGTTAGATGACATTCCATTAAGGCAATTAAGTGGTCCACCAACAAAAGATTGATCTTAGCAAACATACTCTTCTTAGAGCAATTTCCCAGTATCTTTACATATCAATCAGTTACTTGTCTGTCTTTGAACAAGTAGCCTTGCTGTGTTACAACTCTTTATCTTACAACACAGACTAAATAGCCTGGGGAAAATTTCCAGTTTTTTGTAAGGTCAATATTTGAAACTGCAAGGCTTCGGAAAACCAGGCCCTGTGAAGTCCATATGCTTTATAGTATATTCCACAACAATGTATTTTTGTGAATTTTTGTGACATGTCAAATGCATCCTCTAGAAAAATAATTAGTGTAATAGTCTTAAGATTTATTTTCTAAAGTTGATACTGTGGATAATTTTTGTGAACAGCCTGATGTTTGGGACCTTTTTTCCTGAAAATAAACAAGTCCTTATTGAACCAGGAATTTGGAGAAAAAAAATTTTTTTTTTTTAAAGATGACCGGTAAGGAGATCTTAACCCTTGACTTGGTGTTGTCAGCACCATGCTCAGCCAGTGAGCGAACCGGCCATCCCTATGTGGGATCCGAACCCGGGGCCTTGGTGTTATTAGCACTGTACTCTCTCGAGTGAGCCATAGGCCGGACCGGAGAAAATTTTTTTTTTAATTAAAAAATAAAGGGGCCGGTCCGTGGCTCACTCGGGAAAGCATGGTGCTGATAACACCAAGGCCATGGGTTCGGATCCCATATAGGGATGGCTGGTTTGCTCACTTCGGAGAGCGTGGTGCTGACAACACAAAGTCAAGGGTTAAGATCCCCTTACCGGTCATCTTTTAAAAAATATAAATAAATAAATAAAAATAAAAAATAAAATAAAATCACGTATAGAAAAGAGAAAAGGGAACTCTCCTACATTATTGGTGGGAATGTAAATTGGTACAGGCATTGTGGAAAACAGTATGGAGGTTACTCAGAGAACTAAAAATAGATCTACTTTAGGACCCAGCTATCCCACTACTGAGTATATACCCAAAGGAAATGAAATCAATATATCAAAAAGACACCCATACTCCCATGTTCATTGCAACACTATTCACAATAGCCAGGAGATGAAATCAACCTAAATGTCCATGGTGAATGAATGGATAAAAAACTGAAGAATATACACAATCAAATACTACTCAGCTATAAGAAGTAACAATATCCTGTCATTTGCAGCAACACGGATGGAACTGGAAACCATCATGTTAAATGAAATAAGTCAGGCACAGAAAGACAAATGCCACATGATCTCACTCATATGTGGAATCTAAAAACAAAACAAAACAAAAACAGTGGTTCTCATAGAAGTAAAGAGTAGAATAATGGTTACCAGAGGCTGGGAGGGGATGTGGAGGGGGGGGAGAAGTGATGAACTAGCAGGTACAAAACTATGCTATCTACCCTAAGTGAATCATTGTGCAGTATATGCATGTATCGAAACAGCACACAGTACTGCACAAAAATATATAAATAAATGTTAAAATAAAAACCACAAAAAGGGGCCGAACCCATGACTCACTAGGGAGAGTGCAGCGCTGGGAGTGCAGCGGCGCTGGGGCTCCGAGGCCGCGGGTTTGGATCCTATATAGGGATGGCCGGGATGGCCGGCACACTCGCTGGCTGGGCGCGGTGCGGACGACACCAAGCCAGGGGTTACGGTCCCCTTACTGGTCACAAAAAAATAAAAATAAAATAAAAAATAAAAAATAAAAAGGGTTTGAGGCTGATTAAACATAAAATTACATTAAATATTAAAGCAATAATATCTAGATTAAATGGGACATACAGATTTGGCTGTGCATGCATGTTTATTAAGTTTTTATAATACTAAAAAAGATTGATAACAACCTAAGTGTACAATCTTAGGGGAATACCATGCAATGTTGGAAAGCACCAGTAGAAGTGTATTTATTGTTTTGGGAAAGGTTTACCGATATCTTAATAAGTTAAAAATACTGAATAATATATCAAGTCTGGAAGGATACTCACCAAAATATTAAAAGTGATTCAGGGGAGTGGGATTGCAGGCAATGTTTTATCTTCTTTTTGCTTACTAGTGTATTTCCATTTCTCTACAATCCGAATATTATTTGTTCAGTAAAATACCTTTAAAGAGTAGAGATAATATAATATTTTTAAAGGGATGATCAGAAATTATCTAGAAGACCCTTCAGCAAATAGGGCTGGGCACAGACTTCATGAATATGACCCCAAAAGCACGGGCAACCAAAGGAAAAATAAACAAATGGGACTATATCAAACTAAAAAGCTTCTGCACAGCAAAAGAAACAATTAACAGAGCTAAAAGACAACCAACAGAGTGGGAGAAAATATTTGCAAAATACACATCCGACAAAGGACTAATATCCAGAATATATAAAGAACTCAAACAACTTTACAAGAAAAAAACAAGCAACCCAATCAAAAAATGGGCAAAAGAACTAAGTAAGCATTTCTCTAAAGAAGATATGCAAATGGCCAACAGTCATATGAAAAAATGCTCAACATCACTCAGCATCCGGGAAATGCAAATCAAAACCACACTGAGATACCATCTCACCCCAGTTAGGATGGCAAAAATCCAAAAGACACTGAAAGATAAATGCTGGCGTGGATGCGGAGAAAAAGGAACTCTCTTACACTGTTGGTGGGAATGCACAATGGTGCAACCCCTATGGAAAATGGTTTGGAGGTTCCTCAAACAGCTGAAGATAGACCTACCATACGACCCAGCTATCCCACTGCTGGGAATATATCCAAAGGAATGGAAATCATCAAGTCGAAGGTACACTTGTTTCCCAATGTTCATTGCAGCACTCTTCACAATAGCCAAGAGCTGGAATCAACCCAAATGTCCATCATCGGATGAGTGGATACAGAAAATGTGGTATATCTACACAATGGAATACTACTCAGCTATAAAAACGAATGAAATACTACCATTTGCAACAACATGGATGGACCTTGAAAGAATAATACTGAGTGAAACGAGTCAGGCAGAGAAAAAGAAATACCACATGTTCTCACTTATTGGTGGGAGCTAAAAAAAAAAAAAAAAAAAAAAAAAAAAAAAAAAAAAAAAAAAAAAAAAAAAAAAGGAGCTAAAGGTGAATGAATCAATTCACACACATACACACACACACACACACACACACAAACAACAACAAAAAAAAAAAAACGGGGGGGAGGGGGAGAGGAAGATATAACAACCACAATTTTTTTTGAAGTTCTTACAACAAGAAAATGGAGGGGACACACCTGGGTGGGAGGGGGGAGAGGGAGGAGGGAGGGAGGTTTTGGTGATGGGACACAATAATCAACTATATTGTATATGGACAAAATAAAAATAATAAAAAAAAAAAAAAAAAAGAAATTATCTAGAAGGAGGAGAAATTTCATAGTGCCAGAATAGGGAGTCAGGTGACTATAGCAACTGAGTTTCTGGCGGATCCAGCAAAGGGGAAATGAGACATGATGAAGTTCCCCTTAGATAAAAATTACTTGAAAGGTCTGCTGTTTTCCCTTAGAACTCGGAATTCCCAAAGGGCTGCACGAAAGGGTAGCAAACTCTAGACTAATTTTGACTCTTCCATTCATGAGATGAGTGACTTTCTGCAAGAGCCTACCCTTTTCAAAGCCTCAGTTTTCCGTTTGTGACATAGGAGATGGACCTCAACGTCTCTACAACCCTTTACTTAGCAGTTAAGAGGTTAGTTTTTAAAGCGCTCTACCGGAGAAAACAGCCGAGCAGCGCGACGGCTGCGGAGGGGTTAATACCCGTGGGCTCCGCCCCTTTTATTGCCTCGCCCCACAGGCACCACCCCAGCCAGGGTTGTACCCTTGACCCCGCCCCCAGGCCGTGCGTCCACCGGAAGTTCCCGCGCGCGGGCAGCTCACTTCCGCCCGGCAGGTGACAGCCAAGGGGCGCAGAGCGGCCGGCGGTACGGACGCACCGGGAGAGCGGGAAGAGGAGGCGCGGACATTTTACTGCCAAACTGAGCCGAGCCGTGGCGCTGGGAGCCCTTCGGATCTGCGGGTGAGGAAGCAGGGAGCCCGGCGAGACAGGAGAAGTGGGGCGGGGAGTCGGGGGTCCGAGGTGAGGGGGTTGCGGGGTCAGAGGTCGCGGGGAGGACGCCACGCTAGATGGGCGCGAGTAGCGTCCCAGGCCCAGACGAGGTGGAAGGGCTGCGGGTTTATTCATTCGCGCCCACTTGGCCACCGACCCGCACGCCGGCCACCACGAGTACGCTGGTCCGGAGAGACTCCTAGACTTAGGCCCCAACGAGCCCTCCCCTGGCCGGAGGGAAACTTCTTCTGGCTCTGGTTTTCCGCCCCCTCACACTCACCCCCATGGCCATCCCGAGGTCTCCTGGTCATTCAGGGCTTTATCTCTGCCAAGGTTCGAAAATGGAAAGAAAAAAAAAAAAATCAAGAAACTGCCCCATGCAGCCTGCTCCCGGGCAGGTTTGGTCTATCCATTGGAGCCTCAGGGACACGTTGACTGAATGGGAACTCCTGTGATAATGCTAAAAACTACTGACGAAAGTGCTTGCTTCTGGTTACTGAGCCCCTACTGTGTACCAGGCAGTGTACTAAGCACTTTACTTACAATGCCACTTTTAAACCTCACTGCCATCCTTGTGAGGTAGCTACTATTGCTATTACCATTTTATCAGCAAGGACACTGAGGCACAGAGAGGTTAAATCACACATGTGAGGTTAATCGGGTGGTAGAGGCAGAGCCAGGGTTCCTACCCAGGCTTTGAGGGACCTGCAAAGTGCAGAGACAAAGGAGAGGCTGGAGCGAGGTTGGGATATAGGGGCTCCTTAATATTTTTAGATACCTCTATATTCGGATCTGTGGCAAGAAGTAGCTTTATTGCTTCTTGTCTGATCTTCATAAGGGGCACTCAATTCACTTTCTTTGGATGAAACAGCCCTGTAGGCTGTTGCAATAAGAGATTTACCTTTCACGGCAAGAGTTTCAGATTTTCCTGACTATTGGGAATTGTTAGACACAAAACAGGCTGTCCATGAAGCTAATTGAAGAATATCCAGAACCTTTCTTGAGAGTGGTTGAACTGCATTCCTTTTGGGGTAAAGAGAGAGAAAGCACGTGACCCCCTCGGGGATCTTATGGCCCTAGGTTCTGGAAGAACATACCCAAGGGAAGGGTCTTTGCCTTTCTGAGAAATGTGCAGGCCCCATGGCTTCTTGCCTGGGGACAGCACATCTTGTGTAGATGGTGAGATGGTTTGGTAGCTGGAGGGCTAGACTCTGAATCTGGGCCTTATTCCTTTGCAGACATTCACTTGCTCCAAGCTGCCTCAGTTTCTCTCACAGCAGCATGAAAAAGACTTCCTGCCTTCCTACCCACTTCTGGGTGCTATAAGCCTTAATGAACTTGTGAAGATTTCCACATGCTTCTGAAGAAAGCTGTGATATAAATATTATTCTAGTACTTTTTCCTCTTTTAACTCTATGATCTGTTCTCCTAGTTCCATTGGATTTACAGAAACTTAATATTGTCACCTTATCCCCATCCTTCCAAGGGAGGATTTGAGATGAAGTGACTCGTCACAGATGGTAGGAACATGAGTAGAGCTTGGAGCATCTGGCTCCCTGTCCTGAGTTGAGCCCACCAGTCTCCTCTCACCTCTTAGAAACTGTCATGAGGGGCCGGCCCGTGGCTCACTCGGGAGAGTGCGGTGCTGATAACACCAAGGGCCCCGGGTTCGGATCCCATATAGGGATGGCCGGTTTGCTCACTGGCTGAGCGTGGTGCTGACAACACCAAGTCAAGGGTTAAGATCCCCTTACCAGTCATTTAAAAAAAAAAAGAAAGAAACTGTCATGAGGAATGGCCTCACTAGTTCTCAAAGAATCAGATCCCTTCATAGGTTGTGTGAAGATCATCTGTTGAGTGTGGGTCAAGGGAGCTTCAACCCGAACAGCTTGAAAGGCTCAAAGGTATACCTGTCAGTCAGCCCTGGTTCTGACCCCAGCTCTGCAGCTTCCTCGTAGTATGACCTGGACAATTTACTTAGACTGGGCCTCCTTCACCTCAGCTCTAAAACAGTACTGACCACTCCCTGTCTCTCCCACCCCTGGTTTGTGTGGGGATTAAATGAGGAAATTTTTGCAGAGTTTGTTACTACGGTGGGTGCCTTGACCTTAGGCCAATTGATGCCTACTGAGGGCCTTTGTCTGATAAAATCTGTCAACCCTGGCTTGTGGGGTGTTACTTCCTTCTGTAAACAGACTTTTATGTACTCAGGACTTCTCCCACCCTTCTCGTTTCACTTCCTAAAAGTGTTTCAGAACAAGTTCCGTCCATTGGTCCTACTAGCTCTGGGCTTGGACTTTCATCTTTTTCTAGTCATCCACCGAAACTATTGCACGTCTTAACTGCTCACTTCCTAGAAAACCCCCGTGTCTGGCACCAACGCCTGACATGCTGACGGTAAGCAAACATGGCTTGGGTATGGATTTTGCATTTTGATGTACTTCTGAAAGTTGAGGTTGACAGGGCATCTCTTCCTTGAAGACGTTTCCTTTTCTAAACAGGTCTTTTTGCCTAAGATAGACCATTGATATTATCACAGCCCAGAAATGATTTTTCTGTTCTGTATTTCTTCACACAGGAGCCCTCAGCTAAAACTTATATTCTTTAGCATGGCATTCAATGCCTTTTGGGCTCTGACCCTTGCCTGGCTCTCTTTCTTCATCTCTCCTAGCTTAACACTTCCACCTGCTCCCAAGCTCCAGTCAAACTCTGCTGCTTGCCACTTCTCCAAGCCCCAGTTCTTCATACCTCTCTTGTCTTTGTTTTATGCCTTTCCCTATGCCTGGACACCACTTTCTGCCCACCCCCCAACCTTCTTGCTAGACCACTATTTGGTGTTTCTGATCTGATCATCACCCCCACTTTGCAAGCCAGTGCTAGTTTCTTCTCCTTGATGTCCTGTGGCAGTGATTGCAGTGGGTTGTCATTATTTACTTGGCTGTCTTCTAAGTAAACAGCTCTTAATTTTTGTCAAGGATTTGTCTGTGTCTCCAGCACCTAGTGAGATGTCTGGCACATAGTTGGTGCTCAGTAAATGTTCAGTGAATGAACGAATGAATGAATATTGCGTTGAATTGTTAGGATTCCTTGACTCCTAAGGAATTCGAAGTACTTTCCAGATGATCTCCTGTCCATCCTTATGTTACCTCATAGGGATAGGGAGAAATCTGACCAGGGCTGGGATTAACTACTCTCAGACTACTATTACTACCACCCAGCCAGCCACCAAAGTGCTTTAGGGCCTCAGAGACATGGGGGTCTGGGAAGTAGCAGGGAAGTGGTAAATTCTCTCCCTGCGCAGTAATAATGGTGACATTTATCAAGCAATGCTAGGCAATGCTGAGGGCTTCGTATGTATTGACTGGTTTTAGCCTCACAAACCCATCAGGTATGTAACATTGTAGTTCCCATTTTATACTTGTGGTTCAGTTTTGCCTGTTATGTTGTGTAGACCCTGGGGAAGCCCCTGTCATACCTGCTGCGGCCTCTTCCCCTTCCTAACCCCTTGGTCTTAGATTGTCTCCTGTTATACAGTGGAGCTGAGGAGGGACTTGGCTGGGATACTAGACTCCCAAACCTCATGCTCTTTGGGTCTTTACCCTTGGGTTTGACCCCTGACCTTCATCAAGAGGATCTCCCTGAAGTTGGAAGGTCTCTTCTAGTTAAGGTAAGTGTATGGCTGGTTGACTCCAGAAGGCTCAGAGTTTATCATCAGTCAGGATACCTTAGTCGCTGATCCCACAAGTTACCATGTATCTCCTCTGTGGACTCTGAGCTGGAAGATGGTAGATTTGGATGTCAGGTCTCAAAAGTTTTAAAACCAACCCTTCAGTGTTGGTTTTCAGCACTTCAATAGCCGAATTCTGTAGAAGAGTAAATTTGGGTGCCAGATGCTTTTTACCACACCCTAATTGCTTTTAGGATTTTAAGCATATTATGAGTGGAATGACAATTGCAGTATAGCCAGCTGTTGGGTCTGCTTTTGTGGTCTTCATTCTCTGATCCCTGAGGTTTGGGTGACTAGGGGTTGAGACACCAAGGACAGAGACGCTCATAAGTCCAGCATTCATTTATGCAGTATTATCGAGGCCTGCTAGTGCCTGGGCAGGGCTATGATGACAGGTGAGCCAGCCAGACATTGTTTCTGCCCTCTGGTTGCTTACTACATTCTAATAGAGGAGAGAGACAAAGAAGAAAAAAACCCAATGTATTAATTAGAAAATCTGATAAACCAAGAAGGAAACAAAAAGGTATAACTGGAGGGTTCAGATCCCCTTACCAGCCAGCAGCCAAAAAAAAAAAAAAAAAGTATAGCAATGAGATCCTTTTAAAATGTTAGTCAGGGCTAGCCAGTTTGCTCAGTTGGTTAGTGTGCAGTGTTATACCACCACGGTCAAAGGTTCAGATCCCCTTACTGGCCAGCCGATAAAAAAATAAAAATAAATAAAATGTAAGTCAGATCTCAGGACTCATTTGCTCATAGTGGCTCCCAGCTCACTGAGAGTAAAAGCCAGTGTGCTTACCTTGACCTTAAGGCCCCCTCCATTCTCCTCCAGCCTTGTAACCCACTGCCCCGCTCACTGGTCACTGAGCCACATTTGCCTCCATGCTGTTTTTCAGATATGCCAGGAATACTCCCACCTTTACACTGGCTATTTCTTTTGCCTGGCAGTCTCTTCCCCAGGCAACGTCACCTGCCGCCTTCTCAAGAAGGCCTTCTGTGGCAACCCTAGTTAAATTTCAACCTCCCTTCCTCTCCTCCCCGCTCCCTGTCCTCTTTCACTGCTCTCTTTTTCTCAGTAGCATTTATCACTATCTAAGATACTATGTATTTTACTTATTTATCTTGCTTATGGTCTCTGTCTCCCATTAGGATGTAAGCTCCATGAAGGGAAGGATTTTTGTGTCATTCACTGTGGCATCCCCAGCGTATAGACCAGTTTCTGGTACGTAGAAGATGCTCTGTTAAT